AGTAAATTAATAATTTAAAGAACNTCTGCAAATCACTGATTTGTTTGGTCAAAAATTCTTTTTTTTTTATTTCAATATATTGAATTATGTTATCTTATGTTTTGCTTCGAATTGCACAACTAGTTGTTGTTCCTTTACTAGTTTACTTTTTTTTTCAATCATAATTTCACTTCTTCAAATACCTTTCTTTCTCTCTCCTTGCTCTTTTTTCTGGTTTTCCTGATTTTTAACTTTAATTTATTTTTTTAACAAAACAATCTTCTCGTTTATACTTTTCTGGGTCTGTTTTTTTTCAACCACTTGTTGCCACTAAGGATCGGATATAACACATAAAAGCTTTTTTTATTCTGTTTCTTGCTACTCATGGAAAAGATATTGTTATTAGGCAATGTCAATATCCAGACATCAAATCAAAAGATGGTTTTGAGTTGTTTGTTATATTTTACAAAGTTTTATTTTGAAAATTGAATTGTAATTCAGTTGAACTCAAAATTGTAACTGTTTGCATGTCTGTACTTTCAGTAGAAGCATACATTTTTTTTTTATTTTTGGATTATGAACGTAAAAGTGAGAATGATGTTGAGGGATTATTTTACAAAAGTTCTATTGTAATACAAGCACCAATAATTTTTCATGATAATGCCATGACGTAAATAAGTTTTTTTTGTTTCTTTGCAGTGATACGAACCTATGGATACTAAAAATTTCTATTAAACCAAGTTAAGTAAGCAAGAATGCTTTTTTCTTTTATTTTCCTAGTAGATGCTTATGCTATGCATATGTAGGAAAAAATAACGCCACAAAAGTAAACTTAACAACAATTTTGTCACGCTTACATAATATAATAGTAGGTTATGTTTCACGGTTGAGGCCAAAGAAAGCTGATGACATTTATATAGTTACAGGTGCTGAAACTATAGGTAATACTATCATTTAAATAAAATAAAATCCATGTGATGAATATATATTTTGTAGAATTACTGTGAAACAGTAACAATGACTTCATATGCCTATAAATTTTGAACTTAGTTAACGGGTGATGTATTTATTAAAAAGTTACTTGAAACTCATTGATTTTAAACGATGGACTACACTTTTGAAATGTCAACAAGCTTGCACACATTTTTTTATTTTTTTAATCAATTTAGAATTAAATTGTTGATATGTTACTACGATAGTTTCATCTGCAATACATCTAGCTCGCTGTAATATTATTTAGGCATAATATTTAATTATTAACAATTACTATTCGTCATTTTACTTCAAGTGGCGGTAATTTCATCACTGTCAGTAATACCTACATTTACCTCTGGGGTTTGTTGGCGTAGCACTGTATAGATTAACTCGAGGTGGAACTACTTTTCCTTTTGACTTATGATCGAAAAACATTACTTTTTTATGCAAAAATGAGCGATCAGCAGTCTATAGTGACACGGTAACGCTCGGAGAAGACGCTATGAACTCAAGTTAGTAAGCTAACACTCTGGAAAACATTCCGCCCAATTGGGTGTGGGATTATTTTCTCACGTTTCCTCGCTTTGAACTTTTCTGTGTCAGAAAGAGAAAAGTGATAATTAAGTGTGCCATATCACTTCTTTTTTTTTTAGAATAGTTTTTACATACTAGCATTAGTTGAATTTTCATAATAGTCTAGACAAGGAGTCAACATTATATTTACATGTAGCTTGAAAAATGTAGCTACTTCGAAAGGAAAAAATTGGTAATAGCCTGAAGGCTTGAATGCGTAAAAGCTGAATTTGTCAAGGTTGATAAAAATTTTACATATTCTGAGTGTGATATGGAAGATGTGTTAATAATTTTATTTATTCTACATTTTCACTATTCTATTAGTATTTTTAAACACATTGATAATGCTACATACTTTGAATTAGTGCGTGCTATGTTTGATCAACTTCTAATACGCTGCATACTTCAAATAAGTGATTGTTATTGTATGATAGCTTAACACTATTTAGGAAAGGATCAAAACAAATTTTAACTTGTACTTCTAATTTTCTATATAAGACGGAACAACAACGAAACAAACATGAAAGTTTGCCTGACTCTTTAAGATAACAATAAATACAGGACACTAGCACCGAAATTAGAAGGAGACAACTCAAACAAAGAGTAGAAGTAAGGGGCTTCCATCTATCTAATACTTGTTGAAGTGAGAAAAATAAAATGTGGAGAAGAATACAGTGCTCCCAAGGAAATACTGTACCTCATCATATAGAGCGATTTTCTTATCTTACTGGCGTGAGTAACACTGGTAGGAATAGCAGGGGTTCGATCGGGGTATTCGATACATCGAGAGTAAAATGAAACGTGACGTAACCATAAACTATTTTGAATGCACTTTAAGGTGATTGACGTCTTGATACCACTACACTTTTTCGATATATTGCGATGTATCGCATACCTCGATTTAACCCCGGCTATGAGCGGGCTTATTGCAAGTTTCTATTGAACCTCCTATACAAAATGTGATTCATCGGTAATTTCGCCTTAGCCCAAAGACATTTTTTTTTAATTCTCTGTTAGTATATGTCATTAGTAGAATGATAAGTAAAGTTTCAAATGAGCCGTGACAATTATTTCACAACTTATTTTTAGTAATAGAATAAAATATATTAAAGTAAACAGAAAATGTTTGTGGGAACTTTGTGATTAGCATTTTTTCGTTTTCCTAGATAGATGGTTTTCTATCAAAATAATTTCTTCAAATTATTTTAAAACTATTTATATTCACTTATACGATTGCTAAATAATTTACAGCTATAGCTTATTACTACGGCTATTTTGGCGTTCCTAATGCTTCGTGCAGTTTTTGTACTAGTTCCTTAATCTGAATTGCTTTAAAGTAAATAGTAAGTTCAGTAATTCTTATATAGCTCTTTGTTAGAAGTATAATTCAGAATTATTAGATAAACATGGTAAATAAAGGCAAATTACAGTTTTAATTAATCTGTTTTTGTACTAAAAAGTAAATAAATCTTCTTGTCTTGCACTGTACATTTAAGTAAATAGTCTTTATTACCATATTTTTACTGACATAGATAAATTAAAAAACCCACAGATTCCTTATATTTTGCATCAGTTCCAGCACGACATGTACAAGAGCATTTTAGTATTTTAAAACATCTTTTCTTAAGAGACTTCTTTATTTTACATTGAGACAACTTAGAGATAAAACTCATAATCCAGGTGCAAAAAAGTCTATATCCTTGTAGTTTTGTTCAGTGATACCACAAAACGTAATCTGATTTATATTAAAAATACGTTTACTTTTAAAAATTTGACGTATACAATCACGCATATAGCTAAAAAAAATTTTGCGTAAAATGATTAAAAAATAATTCTTTTTTATGTTTTGTCCATGCGCGATTGCATCATTTACATGCATTTGAGCAGTTCCATTAATTACAACAGGTAGCACTGGCTACACGTAGCACTAACTTATTCAAAGTAATAGTTTAACAAAAAGGTTTTTACCGTGGAATGCCTTCAGTTACTCTAAAAAAAAATTTATGAAGCCATCTAATAATTACTACAAGTATAAGATCAAACTTATTTTAGTATAAATTAAACAAAAAATGATCCTACAAAATTAAATTTCTTAATTAAAGTTTCAGAGCAGGTAATATCAAAACAAAAATTACTAGATGTCTCTTGACTTGATGTAAGGGCAAGGCAAACTCTATTATATTTTATTCAATAAGTCGCATTACCAGAGAACACTGTTTACTTGGTGAAAAAAAACTGTCTCTTTTAACCAGAAACTTTCATGTCCCTAAACGTACAAAATATTTATGTAATAAGCTAAACATGATCGCTATATATCAAAACTTGAAACAAAAAATCTGATTTTAAAGATCACTATATTGCTTTAGTGTTATTTTAAGTATGATAAACCTTTAATGCAGTAACAAGAAATGTATATCTTTAGAATAGTTGCGTATGAGTTTTCATCGACTATTGTACAGATGCTGTCAAAAAGCAGTTTAAGATCATAAAATTGTCAGTTAAGTCTTTGGTACATAGTTTGATACAAACTGACGTTTGACGAGCAATAAATTATTTTGTTTTAGTCAGAGAAACAGAAGACCATAGATAATGAAATTTGTTAGTTCTAATGCCTAAATCAGTGTAAATCGCTATAATGAAATTACGCAACACAGATTTGTAGTGAATCGAGTACCAGATTTGCAGTTTAAGATTAACTGTATGTGTGTCAGATTAACGTTAGTTTAAATTAATTTTGGCACTAAAGATTCGGATTACAGTCTTAATATTTTAATCAGCCCATAAAGAGGCACTCTAACCATTAGTTAACAAAGTAAAAAAATGTAAGCACATGTCTGCCATCAGACACAATACTATTTTACTGCTGCTTATACAAATCTTTAAGGTATATGCATACATCTGACCACTTTTCAATTTTCAGTGGTTGGTGCGCTGAAAAATAAATAATATGCCTTACTGCAGCAAAAAGCTTTACAGATGCAGTCCTTACATTTCAATAAATTTTTTGTGATTTTCTGAAATGTTTTATTAAGCTAGATAACATTATATCTATTGGAATGTTGTACAAATATTTACCATGCTTTTTAAAAGAACAAAAGAAAACAACTGTTCAGATTCAGTAAAGTTAAAATCAGAAATTTTTAAGTATTACCAATAAAACATGTTTACAGTACTTTTACGTTTAATAGTTTTTATTTGATTCTTTATTGTCTTTATCTTGCAACCTTAGTTTATCTTTTTGTATCTCTTTAAGTCTAAGGAAGAATATCTTACAGTTTCGCTATTTTTTGTCTCAAAGTGCCTTACAATTTCTTACGGTATTTGATAACACAGTTGATACTTAAAACACTATGAACATAAAGTAATTCAAGCGTTGTTACTCTTTTTTTTTAAAGGTATTACTTAATTATAACATTTTAATAAAGATTTGTATAACTAACTACTTAGTTTTCATTTCTATTTTTCTATTAATACTAAAATATACCTTCTTTTCGCATACCCATTTTGAGACACTTCTTAAGTCGACAAAATTGACATTGATTTCTATGATGTTGATCTATAGGACAATCACGATTACTACGACAAGAATAAGTTAAACATCTTCTGACACTTCTTTTAAAGAAGCTTTTGCAACCTAGAAAATAAAAATAATTAATATTTAATAAATACAAAAAAAAACTTAATCCTTATAATTGTAAATTCTTAAAATAACCAAATT